TACACCTCATTACTAACCACCTCTCATGATTGTAAACTGAACACCCTCAGTGTCTACACCTCATTACTAACCACCTCTCATGATTGTAAACTGACAACCCTCAGTGTCTACACCTCATTACTAACCACCTCTCATGATTGTTAACCATCCGTCCTTAGTGTTCTAGTTATATTGATGATAGGTTGATGCCCGAGTCACCTCGTTGGCTGATCGCCAACAACAAGCTGGATGAAGCTGAAAATGTCCTCATGAAGTTTGGAGGTAAAAGGGGCAGACCAATAGACAGCGACCAGTTAAGAAAACTGATCGAAAACATAAGGATCGACCAGGAAGAAAAAGAGAATCATGCCGAGAGACACACTCCCTTGGACCTTCTCCGTACTCCAAAGATGAGGAAATGGACACTCATTATGGGATTCCAATGGTACAATATTTGAACGTAAATCCTTCAAATCTTATCGATAATTTAAGCATCCTTTAGGCTGATCAAAGTTACTTGACGTCTAACTCACAGATCGATATGGAATTTAGGTTTTGTGCGGGAGTGTTAAAACCGGAGAACCTGGAGAAAGGCCCTTGAATCAAGGGAGAGACCTAATAAACCCTACTCATGTGTGAGTCCAGCAATCAAGACCGCGTTATGTTTACAGGTCCCTGCGCCATCTTTAAAGGTGAATAAAGGTGACATGTGAATGATTGATGAAGGTCTCTATCATTGCAAGCTCACCTTTCGTCTCGCTTGGATGCGAAGGCACGGCTTTCTTTCAAGATGGCGCAGGGAACTGTTAAAGGGACTATTAGCACTTATTGTTCCTCTCTTTGCCATCTTAAGGTTTTCGACGGCTCTGGAATCTTTTGGAATCCTGATATTTTTCACTCAACTTGCTGGTGATCCGTACCTGAACTATCTTATCTTGGCCATAGCAACGGTCGTTAGGGTTCCCTTCACATGGGTCGTCTTTTTGAAGTTAGTTCAATCAGTGTTTATCAAGGTTAATGTTTCAATATGTTAATGAGTGTGATGTCATAGGAAGGTCTATTAAATGCATGAATCATAAATCRAAAATTATTAAATCATTAGATTCGGTCGTCGTATCAGTTACGGAGGCAGTGTTATCTTTGTTGGCGTAGTGATGCTTGCGACATATGCAGTCAAAGGTACGTGTTGTCCGACGAAAAACGGATATACAGAGACGTACGGACAGACAGCTGACAGGCAGAGGCGTACGGATGGACAGACAGAGACGTAAAGACGTACAGCCAAAGACATACCGCGGATGGACAGACAGAGACATATATACGGATGAACAGACAGAGACGTACGGATAGACAGACAGACACCTACTGTCAGACAGACCAAACAGAAGCGATGAGTACACAAACAGGCAGACTAATCGGTTGATTATCTATAAATAATAAAGAAATTATAACAAGAGTAACACACAACTAAGATAATTTTTATCATCGTTATCAGACATCCCAAAAGCAACTACAGCGTTTGCTATAATCGGATTCGTTCTCCTTGACCATATTTGGTCAGGTGTTTATCTCATCACCTCGGAGATCTTTCCTACAGTGTTGAGGTAGGTTGACAAAGCGGTAGCGTAAGAGGGAAGGGTTAGGGGAAGGGTTAGGGGAGGAATGGATTCCCTTCAGTTATTAAGATTCATAAGAAGAGTTGCCTAACCAAACAACAGGGAGCCCAAAAGCATTTAAAAAACATTTCCTTATACTACTTATGACGGTGAAAAAGTGAACACAGATAGCCTAAAGAAACATTATTATTGTAAGACTTGATGTTTCAATCTGGTTATTTGCAAAGGAACACAGGTCAAGGGACTGGGTCTACGATTGCTCGCATTGGTGCAATCATTGCTCCGTACGTTGCAATGCTGGTGAGTTACTTTATGTGCAGCCCAATCGCTTTTTCCAAAAGAACAAGAGCTTACCTGTATAGCTGTGTTAGTTTCTGAAAGTCTGTGGGGGTAGGATGTGTGCGTGTGGTTTTGTGTGTGTAAGGGGGGGGGGGGGGGGGGGGGGGGGGGGGGGGGGGGGGGGCGTGTGTGTAGGGGGGTCTGCGCGTGTGGTTGTAGGGGTAGGTTGTATGTCGTTTGTTTGTGGGAAGGGGGATCGACAAGGGATTGAAACAATTGTTGGTTTTAGACATCAACACCTTCATTGATTATAACCAACAGGTGTAGGAAAAAATACAAATTCCTATTCTAATTTTAAAAGAAACCCTCCCTCTTCCCCGTGGAATACCAAGCTATCGTATCCAGTATTAGAAGCGCTATTTAGGCCAAAGCTAAATGATTCTTATTTCAATTGAAGTTGTTTAGTGTTGTTATTTTCAATTTATCTACCAGAGCCAGATCCCAAGCCTGGGGGTGATAGTTCCAATCGTCATCTTTGGTGCGCTGGCGTTAATTGCTGGGGTAATGATGAACTGGATCCCAGAGACTCTGTACGCCCCGATGCATCAGACCATCGAGGAGGCAGAAGCAGCTAAGGAAGACTTTGGGATACCTTGCTGTGGAAATATACTTGACGAAGACGAGAGAATGGATGAAGACAAGCAGCTGACGCGCATTTGTCTAGAATAAACCATTTTTTCCACTGTCACCAGCATTTATATGGGCAAGTTTTAACTCACAAAGTTCGTCTTTTTGCAAGAATTTTTAAGCGTCTTTAGTATAATAAGCACCGATCAATCGCGGACTTCTTTGCACCTCACGTTATCGACAATATAACGCATGAAAAGCGTTGATTATTGACAATATAACGCATGAAAAGCGTGCGTTATTGATGATATAACACATCAAAAGCGTGCGTTATTGATTTCATAGCACGGCTTGGCACTGCTGCATGCTAAGATGGCATTGGGGTCATTCAGTAAGTTTGGTGAGTTTGACACACGAATCAATCAATTAATCGCACTGTGATGCACAATTTAGGATATGAAACACACATAATTTCATGTAAAAAGCATAAGCTCATATTTTAAATATTTTTTCCTCAACGCCTTCGGGAAGCCCATTCGATAAAATTGCATTCAGGCATTACATTATTTTTTTAAAAAAGCAACGCTATTGTTAAATATTAAATTTTCTGATCACTCAGGTTCTTTCAATCGTCTTTCACAAGGAAGACTTTGGAACATTAAATCTTGAGATCTTGAACGGCCCCATTTCATAAGAAGGCCTTTCTCCAAGTGCAAGCTGGTATAGAATCTTGCCAACCAAGGGTGCCATTTTAAATCCATGACCTGGGAATATCAATATACCTCTTTAGCTTCAGCGTAATCTTTTCCCATTACAGACCAAGTGTTATTCTCTAGAGAATGTGATTCCTTGTTTGTTTTGTATCCAAATTCATTTGTCTTCTCACGTGCAACCGTTAAACAAAGAAATAACACTCTAGGGAATGACAGGTGGTCTGAAATGGGAAAACATGAGAGATTCATAGAAGCAAATGTCTATGACCTCTGACCATATTTTTTGTCTGATGGATTAAACTTACTTTTTAACCTAGTAGAAGAAAATAATCCTGAAAGAGGGAGGGGGAGGGGGGAGGGGAAGGGGGAAAGGGGAGCAGGGGGTGTGGGAGGTGGAGGAGTATACCTTAAAAAATACATTTTGCGATACTAAGTAGTTTTCAGGAAGGCATCATTTTCTCACAACTACAACAAATGTTTGCAGATTCAAATTTTTATTGCCCTGTAAAATTAGTAAGACACTTGTTGTTAATCAACTGAACAAAAGAAAGCATGTAAGGGATTCTGGTAGTTTATCTCGGGCATAATGTTGTTCCCATTTGAGACCACATGTCATTCCCTAGTGCATCATTTTTTTGTTTAACAGTTGCATACAATGTGTCAGATTCTCATGTGCAACTGGAATGACATTTGGTCTGAAATGGGAAAACATTATGCCCAATCTAAAGATATTTCATCTCAATCTCAAGCACTCTTTCAAATAATTTATTTGAATAAAGAGTTTTACCTGAAAATCCTGCACCAATTACAATGTTAGAATGTGATGGATGATAGTCAAGGACAAACGAGCTGTCTGGAGTTACCTGGAAAAAAGTCAAATGCAACATGTAAAATTTTTAATTCAGTACCCTAATATTTAAAGATATCTAATAAGCCACAACTACTATGCTGGATTCGGAACATAAAACTGTGTACATGCAGGTGTCTACTATTTTTGAGTTGGGGTCAATGTTCCTACTCCTAAGCACAGGAAAAAAAACCCAGATTCCCAAATTGGGAATTTGTTGGGAATTTCCTTGAATTCTCAACGAATTCCCATCCAATTCCCAGAGAGAATGAAATTGGGAACGTGGCACTGATTCCCAATGTTAGTTTGTTGGGAATTTTGTTTTTCTATTGGGTATTAAAAGGAAATTCCCAACAATAAATCCCAATGTTGGTGTTCGAATTGGGAATTCAAGGAAATTCCCAACAATTCCCAATTTGGGAATCCGGTTTTTTTCCTGTGATGCTGGGTTTGGAACATAAAACTAACCGTGTACATGCAGGTGTCTACTATTTTTGGGTTGGGGTCAATCCCTACGAATCTCTTGGAAATACATTTAGATGTTTTGTCAATGTATTTTTCATCTTTTCTCATATCATCCCTTGACTGAGGTCCAGAGACAGGAACTCCACCATGATGACAAATCTAGAAGAACCAAGAAAAGATGATAATATTATCAAAATTATGTTCAGTCGCAGAAAACGCATTGCTGAGTTTCATATTGTGGGAGGACTGGGACAAAACTGGGTTTATCATTAAAATGGTCTCCCTAGTCCCTTCACTCGATATGAAACCCTGTAACGGTCACATTACTATATGATGGTTCCAGTACTATATGTTGCTATAATTCTTGCCGATACCACAAAATGATCAGCCGTTTGTCAGTGAAATATATACTAACCGACGGTTCACTTTTACCCTCTTCAGTCATTTGAGAAATATATATATATATACCTCTAAAATAAGCTGAAGCCAGCAATACATGTACATACTGCAGATTTTTCTATACTACACGTAGCAATGCAATCTTAGATTTTGGTGCTGCAAAAACTAGAGCAGTTTTTACCAAGCTTGTTGCCTATACTGTAGTAAAAAAAAGTTGCAAAAAAGTAAAAAAAAAATGAATTGAGCTTTCTGTCATTTTTCAGTCCATGACTTTACATACCTTGATCAGACCTGGAAACTCAAACACAGGGAATCCATAGACGTGCTCATGACCCAAGCCATCTAGATCTTCCAAATACAAGATGAATCCAGGAAACCCACTTTCTATTGAAAATTGTTTTGGATCTTTAGGCTCCCAGAAACTCAGATTAACTCTCCAAATCTGAAATGAAACATTTGTTTTAATATGTCCTGAATAAATGACTTTTAATTGTCCAGTCTTGCTATTACAATGTACATGTACCATTAAAAACAATTATTTCAAAAAGGGTGCCTGTTAAAGAATGAATTCATCTCACTTTTCCTAATACGTTTGGATGCATATCAAATTACTGCAGAGCTTACTTCAACTGGTAACTTCACACCAAGTGGCTTCAGAATCTCATTTACCCAAGGACCTTCAAACAAAAGAAAACCCCTGAATTAAAACACTACGAAACTCATGCAGAACATGCTGAAACTTGTCTTCCTTAAAGGTTGTTGTCCTATTTCTTGAAATCTATAGGAAACTCTTCTATGTCGTCATGATATAAGTGGAAATTAAGCATTTAGGACTTCAGAAAAACATCAAAATTAGGGGCTTATAGATTTGAAAATATAGCATTTGCTAGTAAGGATAAGTGGGGAGAACTGAGATTTGGAAATTTAGTAAGAAGGCTAATGCCCCCAGCCACCTATCCACTAGTCCCTGCTCATATACAGCATATAGTGTTATAAAGACATGTCACTATATGGTGGTCACTTACCTGCCGTAATGATGATATTCTTTGCTTGATATACACCTTTTGATGTGTGTATGGTAACTATATTACCAGGTTCAATCTTCACTACCTTTTCACCATCATGAAGGTTCCCACCAAATTCAACAAACTGTTCCTGTCAGTAATAAAAAAGAATTACTTTGCATGCTCTACGTGTTGATCAATGTAAAGTTTCAAATTCATCAACATTGCACATTTTACAGGCTAGGGGTAAGGTCATTAGCCTTGCACCCAACCCCAACCTGGAGGACCAGTGGATTACTCTTTGTCTGGTCTACCATTGGATTTGTTTGGCATGGGCGGCCTTATGGAGGACAAGATTCCAGCTGATATATAGCTTTAGACGTCATAGGCACACACAAATGTCCCACCATAATAAGGTAATGATTCCCTCAAAGCAGGGCCTCATGTACATGCCTTCTGTCATAAAGAGTGATAATGATGGTAACTTAATTGACATTGGGCATTCCAATACATGTATGGCTTGCAGAGGGCTTATAACAGCTGGAAGGATACTTGCATTAGGAGAATATTGGACTTATAATGAACATACAATAGCAAACCATAATCCATTGGAAAATTATTTTTTACTATGAAAAAAAAAGCACTCAAAAAGTTTGAAAGAAAGATATTTTCAAGCACGCACCAGTGATTTGTAATTTGTTTACACAATTATGCTGGTATATCCTCTCATTTACCATGGCTATTGATCAATCAGGAAGTGAAGAAATTTACATTTGTGGTAAAAAACATACCTGGACAGCCTTCAAAGCTTGGTTGGCTAGTATGAATCCTCCCTCAGGTTCAAATGTTCCATTCCAGTCTGGTGGCAGACTAAACTTAGGGAACCTCTTCTTGATTTCTTCAGGTGACAATACCTCACATATACCACCACAATTTCTGACATTAAGTACAAGCTTGCTAACTTCAGCAAATGGTGGCCCTTCTGCAGAAAAGAGCCCCACTTTCCTGCAACAGGGTAAGGAGAATCAAAAATAATAACAAACCTTCGTAACTGCATGTTATCAACTTATATGAATAATTAATGAGGAAAAACCTCAGTCACAGAGAAAAAGTCTATACATTGCATATAGAATCATTCTCATTTCCTTAGATTTCCCTTGTACATGCTTATACAGATTGGCTGCTCATACGTTATATACTACATGCATATCCCTGAAGCCAAGGAAATTTTAAGCCTGGTTCATACTTGCTGTGGAATTGGAATCAGACTCATTAGTGTACTGCTCAATAAACACTGCTTGTCTTATTTCACATCTAAGTTACAAAATGCGATACTAAGTTTGTTTATGTCATTTCCAATTCTGATGCTAATGTGAACCAGGCTTTATAGTGGAGGAAGTCCTTACTCTACTTGGGAGTAACCTTTCCAAGGGTGGGGGGACATTTCTAACACAGTACTTATAAATCATACTCATACTCAAAAATAAATGTATCTCACTTGAACAATTGTTTGCCAGCTTTCTTTTCAACCTCTTCCCACATTTTATAGGATTCAGGCATCAGATCAGAGAATATAGAGTTACTATAACCATAACGAACTAATCTGGTGGTACCATGAGAGCTTCCATGAGAATGTGGAAGATGAAACTGGCAAGTGAAATACGATTTTTTAGTTTGAATTTAATTTATTGCTATGCGTTGTGGTTTCCTATGCTCCTCTCATGTTCTCTCAACATCCCGCATGTTTTGATCAGAGTATCAAACATAGACAACTTTTTGTGTCTACTGCATATTAATAAGTTTACCCAGATATACTTCATATCCTATTTACTAGCGAAAAATATAGTTAAATGACATATGATATAACTGACATAGAGTTCATCCCGGTGTAAGGGGTGTAAAACTTTGGATTACTTTCAGATCCCACATTGCACAGCTAGCAGCGCATGGTGAGGATAGCCGATGTTATCCAAAGTCCCGAGTACTGGCTGGTCAACTTGGCTGCTCTGTTTGCTACTCACGTCGGCTTATGACTTTTTATCGACTGGGAAACGTATCAACAACGTTTCTAAAAATCATGAATATTTAATGAGGAGAAAACAAAGCAAGTCACTACTGTGACGGTGGTTTGGAAATGTGTTCTTAATTTGCATTAAATTTCGTAAACTTTTTCTTTGATTTTCTCGGCTGCGCCTCGTTTTTTCAACTCACTTTTCGGTGTTTGGAAATCGGAGGAAGAACTCTCTCGCGTTTTTGAAATATTACTTCAAACCATGATTTGGAAAGATTCAGTGATTTCTAGGTAATATAAGGTAATATAATCGCATTCATTTTTGTAGTGAATTTTATCTGCTTTTTGGAACAAGCTAGGCACACAGGTTTCATCGAATGTGTCAAGTGTTGTTTAATTGAAGTGCTTTTGGGTATTTGCAATATCTAGTATATATATATAAAGAATTTATCGCAAAAAACGACCACTGTTCAAATTGACGTGTTTGTGCTACACGATGTCAACAAATTATGTCGCTGCATGAACGATTTACATAACCGATGCGATTTGAAACTAACTCAGATTTTTACAGTGACAATATTTGATCCCTTTAAAGGGATAACTGAGCTCCGTAAGCAGAATATTAAGCTCTGAATACCTGCAAGTGAATATTTTACACATACGTGATTCAAAAATGTTGCTGTATATATATTTTATTGATCTGTTAAACACTGACATTGGCTGACGTAATATCATCTAGCTAAGCACAAGTTTACCTGTTCTAACAGCAAAGTTTTCTTTCCACGAGAGGCTGAATATCGAGCAGCACAACTGCCCTCAATACCCGCTCCAATCACGCACACATCGTATAGAGATTCATTCATTTCCCAGATTGTTTTGATTTGATTCTAATGACTGTGATCTTGACAATCTGTTTTACGGAGCAGCTGCAACCGCGCGGGAACTGGGAGCAAAAGATAACCACAGGGAGCCCAAGCCTTCTCCAAGCTTTCGCGCCAAAACGCGAAGACACTACTTCCGTTCAACCTTCAGGTTTTTAGCTTCTCGCTCCACCAAGAGAAGCGAATTGGTCGTCCTAAATCAAGCTATTTCCCCTAAGATATTCGACCTTTTGATTTCATATTTGTCTACTTTGCTTTCTCTTTGTTCTGCAAACTTCTAAGAGGTAGGTCAAAGCCTTTCATATTCGCGATAGTTTACGACTTGTACACTGCCTTTTACTCTTTACAAGCAGTTGTGCTTTATTATATTTGTGCTCCAAAATGTGTTGTTTTAGTAACTATGTTAAATTTTAGGCCGATATTGCTAGCTTTCAGTATTGCTCACATATCATGCATAGAGTTATCATCCGCTACACGTGCATGGCAGTATTTTGGGCGGCTCCTTGTTGTTGTAGTCTAAGGTGGGTTTAAAGCTAGCCTGCTGTGCAGACGTTATTAGAGGGAAAGCAACGAGCCGACACTAAAAACGTCTGCACAGCAGGCTAGTTTAAAGCTGGAGTTAAACGAGGCGATAGATGCGATGCTTTACGAGACACCCGGTGGATTTTGCAGTTAGATAGAGAGTTTGCACTCTCTGCAGTCTGGCTGGAAGATTTAACACACCCGAACCATGATATGTGAATTTTTTTCAATAACCTCTCTCAATATTCGTTATTCAGTGGAAAAATCATTGGAATTATTAACATGCTTGATCTATTAGTCCCCTCCCCCGGGGGTGTTGGACACGAGTATCCACGAAATATTCACTGGATAAGATTTATCCGTCGGATAGCACTATCCACCCTAGTACCCTTCGTACAACTGGGGCAGGTGATTTGGAATCAGGTGCGCAATACATTGTTTGTCACAGCGAAAACTGTTATCTCTTGTCAAAACCGAAATGTTTTCGATCTCCAACAACGACGAAATACACTGTTTCTAAAAAAATATGTGATGTATTTTTCCACGGATTAGTTTTATTTTCTTTAATTTTAAGTAAAACCTGTGATTAATTAATTAATGAATTTATCGAGCAAAAAATCTGGAAATAGGAAATATTGAGCTTCGAACAAAATGTTCGCGGTTTGACTAATCCGATCGGGCTGAGAAAAGCGAAAGCACCTATGATAGAAAATTTCCTGATTTTATTCGATCAAACAAGTGCGCACTGACGGAGTCAGTATAAGAAAGAGGTTTTTTGTCTTGAGTTAATTAGCACGAACATGTGTTGAAGCAGATGACACCAAATGAATTTTGAAGGAGTTAAGAGGTCCTACTGTAAAAGCAAATCAGGTCTAAGGGATCTTGATGTATGACACTAAAAAAAGATTGTTTTCACATGACATCACGTTATGAAATATTGGACTATTTTTTTCTCAGAAACAAATGAGCTGTTTCTATGGCAACTTTGTTGACATGACAACTGATAAAACATTGCTGAGGCACTTGACAGCCCGATAAATATCACATATTGGTGAGCACTTAAAACATGCGTTTTTTGTCTTTTTTTTTTTTTTTTTTTTTTTTTGCTACTGCTGATATGCACGTTAATGAAGATTTAAATATGTTTT